GACGCGAGAGAGGGAGATCCAGGAGGAGGAGGTCAAGCAAGAGGCGAAGGGAGAGAGAGGCAGCCATCTGTCAAGTGTCAGGTCCGCGTCAAGTCCATCTAGTGTGGCGTCTGACGTACTAACCAACGCGATGGAGTATTATAACCTTTCCACTTCAAATTGATTTGCCTCTGAAGTATACCTGGAGTGGGTTCTGGAGTTCTGAGCCTAAGCCCAGCCTGGAGCCAGGTTTGTCTTGTGATAACTTGGTCCAACAGGCTGTTGTTTTGGAGTGGCCCGCATATCCACTACAACTCGATTGGTCCAGTACTCTTGAAGGAAGATGTCTAATTTGCTCTTGAACATGACCACTTTTGTTCCTGTAATATTTCTTATGTTTGCTGGGGGGGGGGGGGAGGATGTTCAAAAGCCGTAGACCTCTTACGTTCATTCAGCGCTCTCTCTCATTGTGCCTATGGCACCTCTACTCTTCACCGGCTTTCTCCCCCCCCCCCCCTCCTCAATCGGTTAACAACTAGGAACCCAATTACGGCTGGGTGAACAGTGGAGAACAGTTAAGGATTAATGCCTAGTCAATCCTCCCTGGCCAGCAACCGTGACCAAAAGAAGTAGGCGAGGCAAGTGTTACCACACCAGCAGTAGTGGTGGCTGCCGCTACCACACCAGCAGTAGTGGTGGCTGCCGCTACCACACCAGCAGTAATGGTGGTGGCTGCCGCTACCACTGCGGCTAGAGACCAAGCCTGCAGAGTACGGCATGAGGCATGAGTTTCCAGTCTGAATAAGAAGTATAATACAGAAGGTTGAGGAGTAAATGGCTCAGAGCGGTGAAGCCATTTTCTGGAAAAAGGAAGACCAAGGCGCAACAGATGGGGGAACGGAGGGGGTGTATCCCCCATAATTGGATTGGAAGAGGAGAGGAGAGCAGGAGGAGAGGAGAGCAGGAGGAGAAGGCGAAAAGGAAAACAGGAGACATGAGGAGGAGAAGGAATAGTAACAGTCGATTAAGGCAGCGTCTGGGATGCTCTCGGACGCAGGTTCGAATCCTCGTCACGGCCCTTGTGGATTTGTTCGAAGGAATAGTAGTTGGAAAGGCAGCAGCTGCAGAAAAACACATAAGAAGAAATACAAAAATACGACTCGGCTAATAAATGCCAATCCTTCCCAATTCTCCCCAACATCTCCTAATCCAAGAACCCAATCTTCACTTCAGCTAGAAGTCGCAACGAACTCCGACGACCAAACCACACATCAGAGAATAGAGACAAAAAACAACCTTTCAGTTTGTCCCGGACCGTTATCAAGCCGAAAGAGAGGAAGGAACAGACAAATAAATAAGGAAAGAGAGTGAGATGAAAGGTAAGAGTAAGAGACAAGGGCAAATCTTAAAGCAGATCACGTTTGTTAAGAAGGTTGGAGCCTTGGAGTGTGTAGTGTGGAAGGGAAGAGTCTACTGCAACATAGCCACCACTAAGGCTCAGGTTGGGAAGGTTGGGCATCACAGCCGATTCGATAAGTCGTTTATATCTAACATTTATTTGTTTACATCTCACATGTGTTTGTTTCGAAGCTGGTAAGACTCGGCTGTTGTTCTTAAAATCCAACTCTCCCGGGTTGGGGTGGGTTGGATTAATCTTCCGGTAATATTTCTAATGCTTGCTGGGCGGGTGTTGAACAGCTGTGGCCCTGTGATGTTCAGTGTTCTCTACTCCTCACTGGCTCTATTCTACATTTCCTTCCTTCAGTTCCTCAATTTGTTTGTATATCTTAATTCTTGTTTCATCAATCTCTGCAATATTTGATCCATATTCCACGTCTCCGACCAGGCTTACCGGTTGATCGTCTGGTCAACCAGGCTTTGTCCAAACCAAAAATTGTCGTACTAGAAAATGGAAGCAGCTCGCGAAAGTGACGTATTGTCCCGTTTTCTGTTTTGGGTCCTCTGGTAGGTTAGGAGAGGACACGTTAAATTGACCGCTTTCTTGACGTTGGGAAACCTTAGGAGGAGGGACTGGTGAGAGGCCGGTCAGTTATACCCCTTATGTGTAGCGGCAAAGTGTAGAAAAGTCTTGGCTTGGGTTCTTAATGTTGATAAGTTCCCCCCTCAGCGTACCTATCGCACCTCTGCATTTTACTGCACATCCAGTGCACAATGCAATACTTTGCACATCCTGCCATGCCTACTGGTTTCATGTGATGTTATTTCCGTGTGCAGATTCGGAACCAGTCCCTGTAATATCTTCCACGTGTAGTTTATTATCTCTCTCTCTCGCCTGCGCTCTGGAGAATACAGATTTATAACTTTTAATATGTCCCAATAATATAGATGTTTTATAGAGTGGATTTTAGCAGTAAAGGTTCTTATGCACGCTCTCCAATAATATCGGCGATAGTATAGTAACATATATTGTAAGTATGGATGCATATATCAATACACGTTTACAAATATGCATACAGCATGTGTTTGAATGTCCACACATTGTGTATTCATACTACGTGTGTGTATGAATATACAAACGAAATAGGAGTATTTAACAAATTTATTGGCATATTGTGTTTCATTTTTACACATTTAGAGCATCGAGCGCGAATGATATTATTAATTTTCAACTCCGAGCAGCGTTGGGCGAGACCCCATGTAGCGGAGATGACAATGGGCTCACTGTGAACAACCACGCTAACTCTAGCATCCACCGCTACACTTCCTGCTAACTCTAGCATCCACCGCTATACTTCCTGCTAACTCTAGCATCCACCGCTATACTAGCAGCTAACTCTAGCATCCACCGCTACACTACCAGCTAACTCTAGCATCCACCGCTATACTTCCTGCTAACTCTAGCATCCACCGCTACACTTCCTGCTAACTCTAGCATTCCACCGCTATACTAGCAGCTAACTCTAGCATCCACCGCTACACTACCAGCTAACTCTAGCATCCACCGCTATACTTCCTGCTAACTCTAGCATCCACCGCTACACTTCCTGCTAACTCTAGCATCCACCGCTATACTAGCAGCTAACTCTAGCATCCACCGCTACACTACCAGCTAACTCTAGCATCCACCGCTATACTTCCTGCTAACTCTAGCATCCACCGCTTCACTTCCTGCTAACTCTAGCATCCACCGCTATACTTCCTGCTAACTCTAGCATCCACCGCTACACTTCCTGCTAACTCTAGCATCCACCGCTATACTAGCAGCTAACTCTAGCATCCACCGCTACACTACCAGCTAACTCTAGCATCCACCGCTATACTTCCTGCTAACTCTAGCATCCACCGCTTCACTTCCTGCTAACTCTAGCATCCACCGCTTCACTTCCTGCTAACTCTAGCATCCATCGCTACACTACCAGCTAACTCTAGCATCCACCGCTACACTACCAGCTAACTCTAGCAATCCACCGCTACACTACCAGCTAGTCCTTCTTGACACTAATTAAAAATATTCAAATGCTGCTCATTACTAAATGGGGAAAAAAAGAGAAACAGCTGGCGTCAACACTCTGGCAAGTCATACGGCTGGCAGCATGGACAGAGTATTCGGCAGCGACTCGTCGTCACACACCTGGCAGCGGGGATCATGACACCGAACAGCGTTATACTGAAGTTACGCGTGTTTACCCGTACGATAACTATCATGGCGCTGCGCTGCCAACTCAGCGGGAGTGCCGACACTTCGAGCTTCAATAATTCAGAAAAGAAACCCCGCTCCCCTCGCCCTCGCTCGCCGCACTGGCCCGCTCTCTCGCTCATACTTCGCTAATGTCACCTACAATATCAGAATCGAAATCATGTTTAAACAAAAGCGGCGGGTTTCACTGGTATACACTACACTACACTACACTACACTATACACACACACACGCACACACACACACACACACACACACACACACACACACACACACACACACACACACACACACACACACACACACACACACGCACACACACACACACACACACAGGCACACTCACACTCTTGTAATAAAACGCTAAAAGAGTAAATCTCGCAGATCTCTGGAAAAAGGCAAGCGTAGT